TAAAAAATTTTGATTACTCTTTATGAAATAATCATTTCGTCAATTGACCATTACTCCGAAAGACCATTCTTTCACCTCAAACTGTACACGATAATTTTGAACACGCTACTACTGCTAATGTTTTCCTAGTCCAGGATTACCTTGTATTTTGTAATCGTTCACTTTTAAACCAGGTTGACTTTGTAAGTTCCTGCTCAATGCAGAGACGAACATCATTTTACATACCTTTAAGATTTGTCCTCCATCAGGGTATCTTTCTAAGATATTTTTCAAAATGTGGGTCAGTGGAGGTCTCCTCTGGCCATAGGACCTCCCTTTTACTACTGAGAAACAAAACCGTTGCAAGGATTAGCAAAACTAAACTAACCAATGTAAGCATAACTATCTACAAACATAGTATCACCTCTCGAAGCAGCCAAATGGTAAATTTTATTCTTGAATCTTTTTTTTTTCTTTTAAGTTCTTTATGAAAATTCGTAGCATGATGTTGATGGTTTCTACTCACCATAGTATCTACATATACCGTGAAGCTCTGGTTATATTACGAATCTGTTGGAGAGTTTACACTCTGACAACATTCTGAACTTTGGTCACCTCTCAACATCATGAAGTTTCCAAATTTATAACATAGGCATGCTACACATTGGATGGGTGGGTTGAGGTGTGACACAGTGTAACTGTTGTATTCACTTTCGCGAAAAGAAAAAGAGCATTAGTTTATAATGCCAGTTATGTTTTGCAATCAGCAGTGAAGAACCCAGCAAGGAATTACAGTTTATAACTGACATTTCACAAATGATCATGGTTCAAAACAAACTCCTTATATATAAACCCTTAAACTCCCAGTAATGATTAACCAGTAACTTCTCCCTATAGTATCCATACATGATCTAGGAAACAGGTAATGAGAATACTCAAACTTATCAGGTAGAGGTTGTTATCATGACTGACAGCAAATTCTTCTAATTTATCCACAAGGAAATGTGTAGCAGCTACATGTGGATGGGAGAGTTAACAATAAGATCTTGGGATTTTTAAAAAGAGTTCGACTGCATGCCGTTTCTGTTAAAAACCAACACTAACATTTTTGTTTGATTAAATTTCTCAAAAACAAATTTCAATTTCAGTTTTGTAATTACCTTTCGTTTTCTCTGACTTCCCAACCTCTATCTTTTGTTTCCTTTTTTCCAAATGTGGTTGATCTTCAGAACTGATGAAGGGTGACTGAGAGCGTAAATCATCTTGAGTAAAAAAAGACAGAAAACACATTTCTGTTTACCATTCACTTCAGACTACATTTTCAGTGTACAGTTGAATCTTGAATATCTGAGCTAATGAGGGAAAGGCTATGCAATTGTTACAAGTAAACACGTAAATGTACTGGGAAAATACTGTTCGTACCCAAGATGTTATTCATGGAGAATATTTAAAGGGAAAGAAATGGATATTTAACATGGCCGTCAATGCAGAAAGTAAATACAGCTCCCTAATCATTTCAAACTCTGCAAAAAGAGCAACCACGAGGCAAAAACAAGGTTATTGATCTTAGTAATCCTGACACTGGCAGATCATAGAGACAAGGTCCTCAACAAGTTGACTTCACAGTTCTTTGTCAATGTTATTCTTAGTGTGCATCAATGTTGGGTTGATTCCATTGACACATTTTGTGGCACCCTTATGCCATGACATGATTGACATGAGGGACAATACCCTGACACTCTGATTGGAGCAAACATACCCCTATGCTGTAATCTGATTGGTGCGAGATAATACCCTAATGCAGTGAACTGATTAGTGTGAGATACACACTCTAACACTTTTCATGACCACCAGTGAACAACACAGCAAGAGGTGATAGCTTTTCAATGACTCTTCATAAATTATCATCGCTCAAAACAAACTCCCTAAATTAACCCTCTAACTTTCAGAAGTGATAAACAAGTAACTTCTCCCTATAATATCCATACATTACCCAGCAAACAGGTGTAATGAGAATACTTGACTTATCAGGTAGTTGTTATCTTGATGAAGCACCAGATTCTCTTAACTAATTTACAAAGAAATGCCTTGCAGTTGGATGGGAGATTAAGCAATCAGATCTCAGGAGTTAAAGGTTGACTGCTTAAGGGCTTCTGTAAAAACCCATGCCAAAATTTGTTTTATCAAATTTCTCTATGACAAATTCTAATTTCAGTTTTGTAATTACCTTTCCTCTTCTCCAACTCCCCAACCTCTAACTTCCGTTTCCTTTCTTCCAAATGACGTTCATCTTCAGAACTGATGAAGTGTGACTGAAAGCTTAAGTCATCTTGAGTAAAAAAGAAACAGAAAACACATTTGTGTTTACCATTAACTTCAAACTGCATATTCAGTATACAGTGGAAACCTTGAATATCCAGACTCATGGGGAATGGCTTGAAAACTCTGGAAAATCAAGAGTCTGGATAATTGATAATATTAATGTTCATGAGCCAAAAACATGTGAATTATTAACCATCATCAAAAAATGGGACCAGAAAGGTAAGTCTGGATGATAAAAAAATTCTGGAAAATGGAGATTTGGGTAATAAAGTTTGACTGTATTGCAGAGATCTAATTTTTCTACAGATACCCATTTTCATAATTCCTTTGCTCGTAATACCTCCACTAAAATCAAGGCTGCCTATGACTATTTGTTTCTATATCAATTTAATGATTTATTACAAATCAAATAAATTGAAAGAAGCCTGAAGAAAATGAGCACTTTTTAAGCAATGATAGCAGATTGGTAGCACCAGGTTAAAAAAAAAATCAAACAAACAAACAAACAGACAGACAAAAAAAAAACAAAGAAATGAAGAAGATTCAACCAACTCATAGTGAAACTATGGAGTGAGGCAGACCAATATCTTGTCAACAAATCACCTCTAGCATTGTCAGGACTTATATAATCGACAATATATCATATGTATATCTTAAAAACCCAGTGGAACTCCATGCGGAAAGAGTGATGGACTGTGTCCAAAAAAACTCTTTAAATGTTTTGTGAAAAGATATGTCTTATCACTTTCTGTTCAATAACCTCTGAATGCAACTCTCTCAAAGTAATTTGGTAATATCAAATGATTTGAAATTGTAAATTGGCCACTGTAAAGGGTTAAAAAGCTGATGTTTTGAGTGTTAGCCCTTCCTCAGAGCGAAGGGCTAACACTCAAAACATCAGCTTTTTAACCCTTTACAGTGGCCAATTTACAATTTCAACTCAGTTGATGTTACCAAATTACCTGGTTACCCCCACCGATGCAGCACCACTGTTTCTTTAGAAACTTACCCCCTTTATTCATCCTTTTCTCAAAGTAAACTTTCCTTGCATTGTACTCTTCTATGTCCATTGTTGTTTTCAGTTTCAGCTCAGCCAGGTTCAGTTCCTTCAAGATCTTTTCAGTCGCAAAACAATTTTGAACCACTTTACCAAGGTGACCAGATGAATAATCTGTCCACAATTCCTCCAAGATTTGGAGAGATTCACACTTCACTGTTATCACCAAACTTCCTAACGAGAAACCTCTAATGAGAACCTTCATTTTTTCCAAGTATTCCATAAACTTATTGTGCTCTTCAATTGACTGTGGTGGTGTGGTACGGAGGTAATTCATAGCAATTGAGCACAGGACTCTGTCTTTGAGTTCTTGAAGATCTTCTTTACCTGAATGAGACACACTGTCTTCTGTAGGCAATGTAGCAGATGCCCTCTGGTATTGATCCTCTTGGCTTCCTTTAGACTTGGTTGCCAAGGTTGTAATCTGCCTGTTGGGTTCCTTAGGTTTCACGTCTTCCACATCAACATTAATGTTTAATTCACCATCTGTTTAATTATAACAAACAGTCAAATTTAATCCCAGTTTCCATGTTTTTTTTTTTTTCATCTCTTAGCTATTTGACCATTAAAATGTGATAAGCATAATGGTATCAAACACACTGCTTGTTTCAGTTAATTCAAGTCTTTCCAGGTTAGCTGATTCCATTTGATGATCAAAATTCTCATTGATCTCAATATGATTACAATTTAGAACATGAAAATATCTAACAAGTGCAATATGATTCTCACATTTACAGTGCATTTGTTGTAGTTTAAACTGAATTTAGATCAAAATGATGTTCAACTTCTTTTGTTTCATTTTCCTTTTTCAAGATAAATCACATGCATCAATAAATTCTCAAACAAAGAATAATATATACCAAAGTAAAAAAACAATAAAAAAAAAGAGACAATGGATACCAACCTTTAAAATCTAACCCATCAAATTTTATTTAAAAAACAATGATATTTCAACTTGCACATGCTTTTACTACTGAAGACTGTGGTTTTTAAATGTCTGGTTTTAACCAGTGGTCCATTAGTGGGTAGTTATAAGTTTCATATACTCCTAGGACCAGCTTTGATTAGAAAACAACTGTTTTTTAAAAAAGTGAAAAAAATATGTGTGCAAAGACAGTTGTAATTAAGCATCATCTGCAGCAGATATTGCCTTCAAAGTCTACCTAGTTTCCATTCCCCCTTGACCATGCAGTATCCCGAAAATTTTGCAAACTTGGAGAGAAGTGTCTTCTTTTGAAGATTCTTAAAAATAATGTAAAACATGATTCTCGTGAATTATCAAACCTTGTGTCTGTGTTGTTTGCCCCAGTCTTCAGCTTCAGCACATAACTCAGACCTTGGTTTTGATAACTCATGACATCATGCCAAACCTCATCCACTAAATTCTTAGTATAAGAATTCATTCTTTCTTATATGGTTCAAATAGACCTAAATTTAGCAACAACACAATAAATACCAGCAAATGAATGAAAGCAAATAAAAACACATTAAACTCACCTTTCATAACATTTTCAATAATTCTTCTGAATCTCTCACATTCTTTCCTCCAAGAGTAAACCTTCCTGTAATTCTCTCGCAGCATCATGGCATTGGCTTCTCTCTCTTCTGCACATTCCTCAGACATCTCTCTAATCCTTTGTGCCTATAAATCTGCATCCTCATCTGATTCAATGATAACAGTGTTTCCACCTTCTACTTCTTTCAAAGCCTCAGCCACTCCAGATTCACCAGATACAAGTACAGGAACTCCAGCAGATATGGCCTCTAAGGCTACCAGCCCAAAGCCTTCTGTACGGGAAGGTAGGGCGACCAAATCTGACTGGTAGAACATCATCTTGAGTTCCTCTGGATTACTGCAATAGCCACGGATGGTAAGTTGGTTGCGGTCAATGCGAGTGTTGTCAAGAAACCACTTCTCAACTTTTTGATGTTTGCCAGGAGATGAACCAACAAATGTCAGCTCAAAGTTCTTACTGAGAGAACCTATGGCATTTGCAACAATATCATAACCTTTTAGGGAAAGATCCTCAAAGGTAGCTCGGCCAAACAAGAACACATTAAAGTTCTTTACTGATCTATGCATAGCAGATTGAGATTCACAGGAAAACCTTTCAAAGATTCCAGGGGTGATAATCTCCACTATGACCTGTGGCAAACTTCTGCTGTACTTCTGTTGTAGACGTGAGCCCACAGCAACAACTGCATCTGCTGCTTTGCAACACTCAATTTCCATCTTGTGCTTCTTCTCATTCTCTTCAATTGTATCTGTTGCAGCCACTGTTTTCTTGTACTTTCCTAGGTCTTCACAGCAAACGTGAACAAATTGAATCCATTTACACTTTGTGTTCTGTACGAGGCAAAATGCAGGACTACCCAGCTTTCTTCCATGGCCTATCACCAGATGTGGATTTGGAAGCTCGGAGGGTGGAGACATCAAGCACAAGAGGGGGTCAGCTGAACCAGGAACATTTCGGGCTATGATTAAATTTACACCGTGTTATTTGGCATCTTCTCTGTCCTGATCATTACTTTTCGAGACATAGCAGTGGATTTTCATGTTGCCAATCCTCGCCTCTGCCAAGTTAATAGCAAACTCTCGATTGAAAGTTGATAATCCACCCTTCAAAGATCTCCACTCATCACAAAGAAACATGACATCAATCTGCCTCTGCTCTTTCTGCTCCTGCAGGCTACTTGCACCGGCTGAAGCTTCTGAAGATGCCATGGTTATTATTATTGTGCTTCCCTTCGCCAACAGAGAACTCTCAATCCCCTGAATAACATAATTTTTAGGAATTCCAGAGGATCATACACATCTGGCTGTAACTTGCTCATTTGATGTACTTGTTACTCACAAAGAACTACATGCCATACAAGGTAAGTAGACAGTATTAAAGATGTCTAAAAAACATGAAAGTTAATTGTGCCAACAGATCTAAGTGACTATCTGTTCAGTGGGTTCAAGAGAACATCAAGTAGTTCTGAAAGCCTGATAGTAAGATATTAGCCTGCCGTAAAAACAGATCTAAGTGACTATCTGTTCAGTGGGTTCAAGAGAGCTTCAAGTAGTTCTGAGAGCCTGATAGTAAGATATTAGCCTGCCGTAAACCACTCTTACTAATGTCTGCACAAGGATGGGTAAAATTCAAATCCTTATTTTAAAATTCTATATTGTATGTGGTGGGGGCTTCGCCACTTTTGTGTGCCACTTTTTTTTCATCACTACTTTTGTTGTTAGCTATGATCTATTAATGAACAGACGCACGGCAATATGGACGATATTTGCTAAATTGACAATAGCCCTCGACCATTGAGCATATGAGGATTTCTACAGTTACTATCAACACAGGGGGCCCATACAATCTGTTTATGTAGCCAACTGTTGTTTTATAGTGAATGTACCAGATTTACCGTTTGCCTCACATATAGTGATATATTGCTGACTATGTACATAAATCATTGATAAGTAAATGTTAAATTACTTTACCTGTGGTGTATAGTCGTCCTTTTGCCTCAAAAATGTTTTTTTGAGTGATTTTGAATAAGTCTGAGTTTGTCGTTAATGTAATGCATAAAAGAAAGACAAGGCTGGAGGCCTTGCTTTGAAAGGGTTCAAGTGCCCGAGCAATTTCCCCCCTGAAAATCGCATTGCTCCGCTTTCAAACTTTGTGGGATTAAGGTCAAAAGATGCACAATTCTCCTTGTACCTTCCAATTGAAAATCCATCCAAACGGACTGGAGCTAGCCCTTGAAGAAAATCAAAATCCCACAGTATTTGAACGCCTGGGATGCGTAGCAAGAGTCTCATGTGCCAGCCAGAAACCGTCACGTCTGATTGACCAATTCAAAATAACGTTGTCCAATTCAAAATAATGTCGTCCAATTCCAAATGGCGTCGTCCAATTAGAAAAGGGCAATCAGCCTGACAGTTTCTGGCTGGCACATGAGAATCTTGCTACTCATCCCAGGCGCTCAAATACTGTGGGATTTTGATTTTCTTCGAGGGCTAGCTCCAGTCCGTTTGGATGGATTTTCGATTCGAAGGTCAGAGGAAAATCGTGCATCTTTTGACCTTAATGCTGCGAAGTTTAAAGCAGAGCGATGCGATTTTCGGGGGGAAAATCGCTCAGGCGCTTGAACCCTTTCAAAACAAGGCTTCCAGCCTTGTCTTTCTTTTATGCATTACATTAACGACGAACTCAGACTTATTCAAAATCACTCACAAAAAACATTTTTGAGGCAAAAGCACGACTATACACCACAGGTAAAGTAATTCAACGTGTATTTATCAATGATTTATGTACATAGTCTGCAATGTAAAGCGCTATTGATCTGTTATTGTAAGTAGCACTATATAAGAAATAAATTATTATTATTATTATTATTATTAATGTGTCACAAACTGTAAATCTGGTACATTCACTATAAAACAACAGTCGGCTACACCAACAGATTGTATGGGCTCCCTGTGCTATCAAAAAGTCTGATAGGAAAGAAAAGTACATGATCGCACATGGAAACAATTGTACACGTAAATCAGTCTCCAGTTGTTCAAATGATGGTTTGACGCCGTCTACAAGGTAAGTCACTATGAAGTGCATAAGTGTTAGCAAAACATACTGTACTATCCACCCGATGATAAATTGCCTGGTCTCATACAAAACAAGCCTCTCTCTGTTGAGGTGTTTAGATAAGCGCCCGACCAGAGCTTATGGGAGGAAATACGGTGTATATGAATCGAAAAACAAAACTTAAATTACTGATACGGCAGTGATTTGCTTACCGACCTCTTGGTTAGTACTCTTAGCCGGAGTTATGTCAGATCCGCACTAAAATGAGGAAGATACGAGACAGGAATCTTGAAATGCCTTAACTGAAGCTGTACTTTGCCGATGCCGGATCCGCGATATTTGAGGGCCGTTCTGCTATCAGTCGGAAGTGCAAACTTTTTCCGATAGAGTCTCTTCCTTCGTCGACAAATTTGAAAAGTCGGACAATTGTTTAGTTCAGATTTTCGTTATCATCGAAAATGTTTCCTGCTAATGTTTCCCAGAAAACAACTTCAATACTTCTAAGCGCTCTATAATTTATCGAATTCTTAGAAAAGACATCTCTCCACCAATCATATTGCACGGTGCGCTGTATTACGACCATTTATCCCCGACCTGTTTCGGTATCCCCTCTACCCAGACCACCCAGGCTGAATTCCACGCTGCAGAACGCTAACTTGAGTTGAACAAGAGACTGGGACAAGTAACATGGCGTCAGATTTAGACATTACATTTGGTGGAGTTATGAAAATTGCTGTCCAAGATAAAATAACGCCAGAAATGTCGAACATTGTGATATTTGGGGCAGGAGTTCAATAACACTTCTTTGGAGAGTTGTGAAAAGAGCAATCAATCAGAAATAATTGGGTCATTTCCTTCGCTCGTGTACAATCACCGTCGATGCATTGTGAAGATTTCATAATACTCTGGCGAACCAAAACAAGTGGGATGGAACACCAAATCAATAAGGATTTGTGTATCCTAGTCACTACGAGGCATGGGGTAAACAAGAAATAATCTCCTTAATTCTGTTTCTGCGGCCTGAATGTACAATTACAAAAGGTTTAATAACAACAAGAAAACAATTTCCATACAGATGTATAGGTGTTAGAATCATGACTGTTACCCCAAATATTAACTTATGGAATTCCAATAACAATGTAACTACACTGTAAGAGTTATTAAGGTCATAATTATTATTATTGTCATTATTATTACTATTTATTTATATATTTATTTATTTATTGTAGACCTTTATTCACTAAAATCACTAAAAGTATTAAAAATTACAATAAAATGCTTTAAAATCGAAAAAAAATGCGTCAAAATGTCAAGTAAAAATCCAAGAAAAGCTCATGGATACACACTTTTTAAATAACAGTTCAAGGTTATTTACAAAAAAATATAACTGATAAAATTAGTTTACAAAAATTCCATAAAAATTCAACATCATGTATAAAACAAAAGGAAATCAGCTTGAAAATTGCCCTAAAAAAAAGAAAAACTTCAGATGCCCACTGTGGCGACGATTATTTTGTAGTCTAAGGTCTTATTTGCAGTCTTATTTATTTAATATGTATGTGTATGTGTGTGTGTGTGTGTGTGTGTGTGTGTGTGTGTGTGTGGATAAAAAGTTGCTCAGAAGTGCAGAAATTTGAAATATTGTGCAGACATTGACAAGAGGGGACAACAAGACCATGGCAGTTACATCTGGAAGGGGTTCCCATAGCAATGAGTATCCCTTTTCTGCTAGGATCAGGCTAAACATATAATCTGTGATTTTTCATTCTTCTCTAGTGCTCGTGGTTAACATAGATTGCCAAGTCGTGCTTATTGGAATATGTTCCATCTTGGGATGTGATACAAATATCCCAGAGGATTTTGTTGTTTGTCCTTCCATATTTCACAAAGGTAGAGATGCATTTTTTTTTTTCCCATGGTTCACATAATCATGATCTATGTTCTACTGTATATGATGAGAATAACAACTATATGGGTCATACAAATTGGAAAATATGACAGGTTTCCAACAAGAACTTGACAGCAACATTGAAGGACACTCATCATCACTACAGACTTGTGTATCCCTCCTTTTTCAAGTACTGTGAGGAGAGACAAACAATGATATGTTAGGATTTGTTGTATAAGTATGGAAAATGCTAACATCAGTCTGGGTGTCTAGCAACTAAAAGACAACAACAAAAGAGTAGTTCAATCAAGTTAAAAACTATCACAGTTGTTGACTAAACACTTGATCACTGGACTGCAAGGGATACTGATATCTTAATAAAGATTTGGGTATCCCCTCCTCATTGGAGCATGAGTAAAATATAAACTTCCTTTTAAATAAGGAAGTGTATGAAGTACTCACAAATTAAAAACAACAAAACATTGTCCTTGTAAATTGTATATACAAGCTATCTGACCTAGTTTTTCCTATTGATCACGATTTTCACAATACTTCAATGACATTATATGACTCTCCTCCCCTAGTTTAGGCTTAATTGCCATCCACAGTTGAGAAATATGAGCTCAGCTGGCCATCCCCCACTCCCTTCAATAGACCAAAGTTAATCCTGTGTAATTTCTTGTAAATTATATGCCTATTTTAGAAATGAACATGTTTAATACTTTCAAGGCTGAGCCTTACCTACTGGAGTACTTATGACAGTGTTGTTTTCAGCTGAACATGATGTTTGATTAGACCTTAATAACAGCCTGGCTTGCCAATGATTTCCTTTAGTGTATCAGGAGAACTAGGCAAACCAAGAATCATTACAGTTTCTGTAGCATTAAGCAATGGGAAGCATTGTTTTCAGTGGTCCTGAGGGGGAGCCCTCATGCCCCACCTCCTTTGAACCTTTCACCTCCACGATCTCTGATTTTCTGATCCATAGTGATTTTCCTGGCTGTCTTCCATACAATTCTGTCCGAGATACTTTGGAGAATTTGGTTTTGGATCAACTAACTATTCCCTCATTGATGTTTTTGTATTTCATTTTTTCTCACCTGTCTGCATGATATTTTAGTGATATTGTATGGAGAAACTCAGTCTTGGTCATTCTTGGAGTTAAAGGGTTAACACCAAATCCAATGCCCTCCTGATTGAGGAACAGAGATACCTTGCTGGCTTTTCTTGAGACAGTGCAGTCCCCTCAATTTGTGGAGATTTAAAGGGAAAGCTTTGATCTGTCATCCCCAGAGGAACACAGAGGGAAGCTACATTTATTTATCCCATGTTTATTCACGTTTATGAGGTCGATTTTTATCTAGAAAAAGATGTTTTTTAGGTGTGTTCCTTTTGCAATCAAGGGGTGAAATTGGTATACCTTTGTTGTGACCTTGTAATCAAATATTAGAATGGAAGTTTGATTTTACTGGTTAAGTATAGTATTGTAACATAAAAGTGATGATCTCACTTCCATTCGTGCTTACTGCTTTCACTGCCAGGAATCTGCCACTAAACCACTTTTACAGTGGTGGAAAGGAGTGCCTGATTGCTGGTTGGCTTTTTCTTTGTAGTCAAAATTGAATGTGAGTGGAAAGCCTTGACAAGCAATTAGTGGACCACAGTTATCCACGTTTGAAGACACACCCCAGGCTCCACTCTAACTAAGGTCCTTCCTTCTGTCCAATCTCCAGTAAACATAGCGCATAGAATAGTTATCTCAGTACTTATCAGTTTTTAATGAGGTGAAAAAACAGTAGTTATTACTTTCAAATAAAAGTAAGCCAATAAGATGAATAGATGGATACTTACAGGTAAATTTTCAAGTTAAAAGTATTAGTGTTGGATTTATTTCCTTCTTTATAAAGCTTACAGTGTCAACTATCAAGGATCATATGAAATGTTCTTTTAATAAACAGCGTTAATACTTTTGACTAACTCTAGTAAAATATAGACATGAAAAATTTTTCCTAGACCTGAAAAAAACAATTGTAACGATACCTAAGGGTTTATCTCCTTTAGCAGAAACATGGAAAGCATTCCTTTAACTTCGGCACGCTAAAAAATGTTAAGAACTTTCGGAGAGGTCTAGGTCACCTTAATGAACGAATTTTGTTTGTGTTTGTGTCAAGAAAACACATGTAATCAAGACGTCATCTACTCAACACGACCACTAATCAAACGAAAGAGGAATTGCGAGCATTATAAATGACACTCGCACTAACTGATATAAACTTACTTCCTGTTCCTTACCTTCTAAAAATTTTTATGAAAAGCCTTTCCACCACAGTATGATATTACTGGTAAAAATTTGAAATACGACACAACTAGGAAACTACAAAGTTACAGATAAAAGTAATATTATTCGGAAATGTAAGCTTAATTTCTCTTCAATTAAATGTTTGAATCATGTTATGCAAGATCAGTCAATTCTTGCCAAAATTTAACGTCGCGCTCTGCGGCAAAGGTGTGCTGGTAGTATACTTCCTCTTAGATTGCTTAAATTTTCCTAACTCTACCTAAGATCGCGATGCCTAAGGTAAAGCAGTCACATTTTGAAATGTATTGTGGGGATTATAAAGTCAAATGTAAAGACTCGATGACAGTGTCAGCAGTCATTTTTCTCCAACAAACTGCTCTAGTCTCTCAATAACTTCTGTGGCCAGTCTGAAAGCCTCCTGTGCTTGCTGAGAATCTTGGAAAACGTCAGCAGGTACCTTATGGGGTACGTGCTTGTCAGGATATCGAGTGCCTTCGTAATAGTCAGACAGCCTGGCTACTTGCGGTGTCACATCTGGAGCTTCAGGAAGCAGTGAAAGATTGTGGGCCAATAGAACCAAGTCGTGAGAATTTAGCTGCCTGTCCGCGACTCCTGATTGAGCGTAAAGAGCTGCTTTGAGAGATTTCTCCGCAATTTGATGACACTGGAAGCAGACAAGGTAGTAGAGGGGATCTCGGGCAGTCAAGAGAAGTTTTACGGAGCGAAGGTCTTCTTTGCCTTGACGAATCCACATCTTCGCTACGCGTAGATTAGGTGCCATGTAGGTACTTCTTGATTGTGATAAGAAACCTGTAAATTGTGGGTTATGGTGGAGAAAGTTTTCGTAGCTTGAGCGCTCTCGTCGAGCTCTTTTATTCCATCGCGTGAAGAAGTCCGAAAAATCTGCTGGTGGTGTTGCAAAGCCTTCATCGTGGCTTGTCGACTTACGTTTTGATAACCTTTCGACCTCATTTTGTATAAACTTGATGACTTCATTGGCAATGTCTTCCATGTTAATGTTCTTGTCCGGGTGCCATTGAAGGTATAGACGCATAACTGCTTTCTTTCTTTTATCTTCTGGAAGCTTCCAAATTTCTGCAAGTTTACTCCGAACTTCTTTTATGGCGGCGTCCAACGTCCTAGGCTTACGTAGCTCGTCCTTACTTTGAGATGATGTTGAGGATTCTCCTCCCTCAGGTTCTGCACTCTGCCCATCAGCTCCCTCGTCAGGTACGAGCTCCATTGTTTTTGAAAAGCATTCTTCTTCTGCTTCGTCATCTTTATCCTGAACTGTTTGTGGTCTCCCTATTTTGTACAGATCCAGTACATCGACTTCTTTCTTTCCACGGCCAATATGAATAAGATATCTGTCCAGCAACTTACTCTCTCCTTTTTGCCTCCTTTTCGTTCTGTCCTTTTTGGCTTTCGTTTTAGTTGTTAGCTTGTTCACGATTTTGGCATAGATATACTTCTGTTCCTCTTCGGTTGAGTCATCTTTCTCACATGCAACTAGTTCTCCTTTCAGAAAATAGAAGTCACCGTATTGTTCTAGAAGGTAGTAAAACTCTTCAGGCAATTCTGTTCCAAGATCAGGCTCTAGTTTCGGCGTATCGCTATTTTCCACATCTTCGGACACTCCAGCCATGTCCAATGTGGAAGAAATGTCTTCAGGAGACTCACATTCTAAAATATCAGCCAAATACAACCAGCTAACGTTGTCGATGTAGCATCCGGTCAATTGATTTATCTCTTTGCAGAGAACCCTGCGAATGTTTCTGGGACCAACACCATGTTTGATGAATATGTGCTTTTTACCACTTTCTTCCCTTTCCACAAAGCAGTCTACACTCCTCGATCTTTGGCTGCCTGGAATTGATGTATTTGATCTGTTTTCGACTAACTCAGTGGAAAGCATCTCCATGCAACTTATTTGTAGTTCGTTTTGAAAATTGCTGACGTTTCCTCGGACTTCCTCATTCAGTTTGGCTCTCTGATATTGATATTTTAAAATTCGTCTAATACCATCCACAAGCTTAGGGGAAAACAACAAGTGACGGAGGCGATTGGTCTCGTGACATTTATTTTCCACATCAGCTCGGCACTTCTTTTCTCTGCATTCTGAGTGCAGCTCTTCTCTCACCAGTGCTGTTACGGATGGGATCTTCAAGTGAGCTGGCAGAAGGTCAACAATTTGCCGAGGAGTAGCAAACGTTAGGTTGTACTTTCCTAGTGGATCGAGGGGCTCATACATGGCAGTTGGTAAACGGTTCATATACCAAGGGGCATCAAACAGGACGAGGTCTACAGACCTTTCGAACTTTTGTCTGCTACTTGGAAGATACAGATGTTCGATCTTAGAAAGAGGATTATTGTCTGGCTCACCTTTTTTGTGGTCTTGTAAGGTTTTTAGAGTCGTAAACAGGCCGTGTACAGCGTGTTTTACAATGTTGTCTTCATTGAGATTTATTTTCTTGTCTGGACATGAGGCTTTTAGTTTATTGAGTACTTTGGCGAACTGTTCTGGTGTGGCTTCCTCTACGGCTCCAAGGCGCAGAAGCAAGTGCTGAAAAGATCCGTATTCTCGTGGAACTTTATATAGATATGGTGCTAACTGCTCATCAAGGTGGAAGGCAAGTTGGTCACCACGGACAAATACTCGGCCATCTTCAACCAAGATACATGCATTGTCAGACAATCGCCTCCCAATTTCATGGCACTCGTACGAGCAGGAATTGAGTGAGTTACTCTTCTGGCAGCCAGTTACACGTTGAAGGAAAGTATACACCTCGGTCATGATATCACGCAGAAAGCGACGCTTTGATTGCGGTATTTCTCTATTAATGTCCTTGAGAACATTTTGTGAGAGTGTGGTGACATGATTGATGACCTGATCCAGCGAGGGATGTGGGAGAACTCCAAGGGTTTTAAGCTCCGTATCTTCCGCATCTGGAACAGCCCAATCTGGTAAAAGAGGTGCCACTGTCCAGGCAAGTCGCTCCGCCATGTTTGATATTGAACCATGGAAGTGAATAAATGGAAATGGTCCATCTTGCACATCTTTGGAACACGGGTACTGCATGTGAAGAGAAAGAAGTTTCTCACTAGCCTTTGCAGATGCTACAAACTTTATTATGGAGAGCTTTTGTAAATACTCCGCTTCATGAAAGGACTTTTCATCCAAAAGGTGGGTGACAAGAGTTTGAGACTTCTTCTCCAACGTACTACGAGTTTTCTTCGTCATATTCTCTGCTTGCTTCGCAACTTCCTTTGAAAACTCCAAGAACTCATCTCTGCTAACTTGCTGCTTCAATCCAACTTTACATAGGAGATCTAGCCAGTCGGATTCCTTGTTAAAAGGTTGTGGTGGCATTTTCTCGCGTGGTAACATAACTTCAAAAACTTTGACGCGTGGATCAAAAAAATAAGATGCAGCGCGCAGTGATCCATGAAGGTCTGGAATGAACTTCAAAGTTCTTAGTGACTGCAAGACTCTAGAGTGTTGATCTTTATCGGAATTGGGTGCCAGCAAGAATCTTTTAACGTAGTTAAGATGAAGCATTCGAGTTTGCATCGTTAGAGAAGGAAATTTGGGGAAGATGAAGTTGATGTAGCAATCTGTGTGTGTTCTGGTACTAATATCTAGAACTTCATCGTACAAGTGGTTTAGCTTTGGTTCAGGTGCTAAGAAAAGACAATTGTTACCTCGCATCCAAACATCGCACTCATCAGTTGGTAAACCCACCGGGATGACATATACTGATCCAGCATTTTCGAGGGAAACAAATGTTCCATCAAAAGTCTTAAAAAATGGCAACCGCTTCAAAATAGAGGTGGATAACCAGTCCTTTTTCAGAGAGATTGCACCGTCTTGAAAGAACTGGAGTAAAGAAAGCATTTCATCATCAGAAAGATAACCAGAAATATCAACTTCCCTCATCACATGGTCTAAGACCTTTAAAGTGTCTTCCAACGAGTTAGGGTACGAAAGGTGCTGTTTAAGTATTGGTGATAAATCCCATCTTCTACCATTGCTTATGAGCTCGACATCCACCTCCGGGCATCTTAACTTCCTCAACAAATCGACGACAGTCTTTTGACCATATGACCAAGACTCGGAGGGTGTCAAGTCAAGAATGACTTTACCTTTTAATAGTGGAGCTAATTCCTTCGATTTGGTTGGAAGAATGGGCCATTTATGCAGTGGAGTTAGGGAAAAAGTATCTGGCTCCTTTTCGTGTGCTTTGAACAAAAATCTCCATAGAAGCTTCAGCCACTGTTCGGAAGGTCCGTTCGTCAAATCCCATGAAATGAGACTGTTGGTTTTACGCCATCTGCCTTTTACAGTACTCGGGAGGAGCGAGGCTAAGGCATGGATGTCGAATTTTTTTAGAATCCCTTGATCCGCCTCAAAGATTTCTTTTTCGAATTGAAGCAATGGTGCGGCGAGTGTGTGCTGGATGAACCTAGAGCGTTGATTTGGTATCAAATCTGCAAAGAGGCTCAGAAATACATGGTTATCCTTCTGAAATCGCCTCAGAAAGTCGTCTTCAGTCAACAGAAGAGGGATTCCAAATATTTTTTCTTGAAAATTAGGGGCTTCCATGCAGTACTTAAGGAGAAGGAGTACATTCGGCACAGAACCAAGTGTCGTCTCACCTACAGGACAGGGTATTAGACCTACCGAGTTTGGATTTCCCTTGAGAAATCCAATAACTCCATCAGGCGTGACCTCTTGTACATTCGTTCCTGCTGTCTTGAATTCCTTAAAGAGTTTGTGGGAAGAGTAAACAAGTTGGAAGCCAATGTTGAGGATAACTTGCGAAAGATGTCTGGCTGATTCGTCACTGCTCGACAAAGTGTCGAAAAACCCTTGTGAAGGAGACAACCAAAAACACCTTATGGCCTCTTTACACTCAATAAAATCACATTTGGCGGCTTGCGCATCATGAAGGGGTGGAATGATTCGTACAGCTCTAGCCCTTTGGGAGGACAGCGAATGTTTACCAAAAGGTCTTTTTATCAGCGGCAATAACTTAATATCTTCGTTGCAGATCTTCTGGAAAACCGCCTTTGCTAGCTCTCGCCACTGGTTCTTGACAGTTTCAATTTGCGGAAAGAGATTATGATACCACTGCATACCAACATGAGCCTGGAATTCCGTGGAGAAACTTGGGATGTCTCCGTTTTTGGAACCAGGAAGGTGGCCTCGGGCAACCAACATAAGCGATACATACGCCTGGGCCAAGACTTGGCTCTTCATAAAATGGTTCCACAGACTTCCAAATCCTTTCCCTTCTTCGTCGATCCATAAGTTTCGACGTGCAGAATCTAAAAAGAAATGTCCATTGACATGAACTGGGAGCCCTGTGTATACTGGTAATGGCAAGAAGCAAAAAGCCTTGTGGATTGGTCTGTGTCTTTCGTGAGAGGGGAATTTTGACTTCTCCGAAATCTTGGCTGCTATTCCACCGCGAGGTAGGAGACCATAATTTTGACCGCTGGGAATCTGGTCACCATCACGTCTCTGGATTCCAATGCACTGATGGATAAGCCATTTCTCTTGTCTTACTTTGCCTTCTTGAACAACAAGAGGGTATGTGATTCCAAACCATTGAATTTCATTTGTAGTTAGGACCTTACAACTCTTAATGTGTTTTGCAAGCTTCAAGCGTTCCGCATCAGCCTCGTCTGTTAAGTGTACAGAAACTGAGTGCATTTCTTTCAGCTGATCGTCTTTAATTTCAGACAACGATATTTTCTTCACATGGTGTAAAAACAGGATAATCTCTCTTACCTCAGTGGCCAAAAGGTTCATAAAGTTCTTTATTTCAGTGGAGGACAACCGCGTTTCAGAAATTAATGACTCTGTGTACGTATTTTGGCGTCTGAGAGGAAAGCGAAACATAGTTGAGGATTTTAAATCAAATATGTCTTCCAGATAACAAGGAAATATGTCCCTGAAATCGGATCGTTCTTCTTCACGGATTGGTGTGATGATACGTCCAGGATTTTCTTTGTCTGCTCCAGGAGCGTAGCGATAGTGAGGGTCGAGAATACAGAGCGTGTCTCCATTTGAAATGAAGCTTGGACAGTCCGTTAAGTGGTATACGGCGTTGAAGCCAATACCGTACTGTCCTGTCTTGGTAGGATCGTCTGCTTTGCTTCCAATTCCCAGTCTTTGTATCCCCTCTAAATCCTTTTCGGAAAACGGTCGGTTGTTGTAAACACAGAGGGCAGGACCTTGCAGTTCTCTCCAGTTGTCACTTAAGAGCTGGTCAGTTTTGTGGTAACGAGGGTCAACAATAAGGTGTACCTCGGTGGCCCCTGCATCATCAGCGTTCTGCACGAGCTCCTTTAGGACTCCAACATCGCATGGATATGCTTTCAAAATTCCCTTTAAACGGTCAGTAAGTTCCTCTCGCTGTCCAAATTCACGTCCGATTGGACGAGATATTCTGGCTAGTTTCTTTGTTCGAATGTCAATTGCTCCAAGCCTGTGTGCAAGGTCAATTGGCAAGTCCTTGTGAACGTAGTCGATTCCGCGTCCAGTAATCACCCATGGCGCATCATTAATGGCTAATTTCTCAGCGGGCTGTAAAAATAGATTTTGGTCTGGCAAAGGAATCTTTCCCCTTTCTTTCTCAAGTGTGCTCTCCAAGGCTTCCGATAGCTCTTCGATCAAAGATTTTGAAACTCTAAACTCAGTTGAAGATAGAGGTTCCCCTTGTTTGTCCTCATTCAGCTTGTAAAGAGCAGAAAGGACGTCTTCAGAGGAGAAATTGCTTTTGACGCCTGACGCTTGAAATAGACTACGATACCTCGACGAAAGACTCTGAGGCACTTCATTGAGGTAAGGTTCACCAAATCGCCTCCAAGTGAAAGCCAGCCGATAGGCCGACAGACATTTTCCATTAACGAGTATCCATTCCCTCTCTTGCAATGTCTGTATAATTCTGTCACCATCAGGTTCCAAAATGAGTTCTTGCAAATACGTGTATAGGCAATGGAAGGCCTTTTCCAAACTTTCGATCGCGTGGGGCGACTGAATTGTTGCTTGAATTGTATACTTCAGCTGGTTAAGAACCTCTTGGGCCGATGGTTTACGGGAACTGAAGCCAAAGAGATCGCGTGTTTTCTCTCTTAACTTATGGCCGCCACAACTCTCACTTTCATCAAGGATTGGCCGAGAGGACCCTGCGACATATTTATACCTTTCATCGTACATTTCTTTCGCCGGAAGCATAACACTGTTGCAATCACCACTACCTCTCCATGGCATGACATAGCCTGCTGGTTTAGCAAGAATAGGGAAAATAGTGATTGCCACTAACTCCTCCTTGTTCAATTCTGAAGGGTGGTCCATTTTCTCAATGTGGTCATTGATATACTTGATAAGAAGGGAAGATCTCTTCTTAGCATCTTCTTTAGCTCTTCTACAGAGTATCGACACGGAGTTTGCTCGCTCAGTCAGGGTTTCCCAGTCAAGAGTATCTGATAACATTCCCAGGTTTTGAAGCATGAAAAGACGTTCCTTAGTTTGATAACAAGACCCAACCGGGAATCTTCTATCGTCTGCTGAGAACAGAGTTGCACCCGCACCTATTGGGGATATAAGTTCCCTAGGAGATGCTAAATGCCCCGTATCTGGTCCACAGGGAATACAACGATTGTTTGAAAGCAAAGATTCATATAGGTTGAGAAGGTCATTGCATTGATTGCTTGCATGTCCCTGAAGGCATTTATCTATGAGGTGACACACAATGGGATCGCGTAGCTCTTTTGGTATCGTCGTGATATTCGGAAAAAAAACTTCTTGGAGAAACTTTTCTTGTGTCATTGTACGTTTGTCGATAACATTCATACATCCAGCCTGCTGAAAACCTTTCCTTGCAAAGTCTGGAAGTTGCACTATTTTGTAATCAAACTTTTTAAGGACCATCTCACTATTCGGGAGTTCCCGTAACTTGAGATCTTGGTAAATGCACTGAGTCACTGGGAGCCATTTCCCTCCTGTGCATACTAAGGGAAGGTCATAACTTGCGACTTTTTGATAAAAGCTCTTTATGAGTGGTTCCCAAGCGGATGATTGAAGGTTGTCTGGGTTTGGCCAAAGCGAGAAAACATCGTAGGACGAAATTTTTCCTTGTGTTTTCATGACAATCATATCATCTAAGAGCTGAACATAGGCCATTGTTAATGCATCCTCCATGAGGCTTTGATTCCACCGCACTTCTAGTGGTTCATGGCAGGCATCGGCTGTAGTACTTTCCCAGATTCCTCGGCGGTTTGATGCGACTGAAAAGTAGCCATTGGCGTGTACAGGAAGCCCTGTTCGAATGCTTAGGGGAAGGAAACAAAATACTTCTCCGAGGACTTTCTCTACTTTTCCGAAGCCATCGCCCTCGGTGGAAATTTTTGCTGCCACCCCTGAGGCAGATAAAAGTCCCTGCTTCTTGCCCTCCTCACTTGTTGCAAGCTGAAAGGAATTTTCAGTACCAAGACAAGATGTCACAAGCCAAGACTCGGTTACTTGACACCTCTGTTCATTTTTAAGACAGATTGTGGAACACACAGAGATGAGCTCCGTTAGTTTGGGAGATGGACACCTGTAAACAGGATTGGACTGACTCGTTACCTGTCTTGTCCATGCTGCACATGACCTAAGGAAGGTACTTTCCGTTACAGAATTCTTAACTGGCGTACATTCTGTATAAGCCTTTCTGGAGACTTCAAACAGGAGTCGCAACTCTTTCGAGCCTGTCGCATTTTCAACCACTTCGAGGAACGACACCTTTTTAACGTTTTGTGAAAACAAAAGAATGGTCGGCGACGATTCTCGGAAAGAAAACATAAGAGACCGAATTTCCTGCTTAGTGTAGATCTTATTACTGATTTCTCCTCGCTTAGTTCGGAATGGGAATCTGAAAAAGGTTCCCTGAAAGTAGAACTTGTCATGATCGCTGGGTGGAGCGGTCTCGCATCCAAAAAGCCCATTGTAAGGCGCAAACTGGTCAGGAAAACAGGTTAAACATTTCCGATTTACCGCCAGATCTATCTTTATTCCAGGCTTCGAGGTATCTTTTAAATGGGGTCCAAGGTGTGTTGTTTCTGGATCAAAAAACACGGCATAGCTTCTGGTAATAAAACCTGGGACATCAGTGAAGTGGTAAACTGAACTGAAACCAAGACCAAAGCGACCAATCTTTTCAAGATCTTGCTTTTTTGTGGCACCTGCCAGTCTTGATATATTCTTCAGATCATCATCTGTAAAGGTTGCATTGTTGTATGCTAATAGGGCGGGACCTTGGCATACTACCATTTCCGTTGATAAAAGCCTCTCGTTTGGATGACTGCGCCAGTCAAGAACGAACTGCACTTCTGTTGCCCCAGCATCATCTGCATTCTGCACTAATTCCTTAAAAACACCAACCCCTTCTTTGTATTCGTTCAGAATATTCCTCAGCCTCGTGGTAATTGGCTCGTATGGACCTGTTTGCTCGATACCTAAGGCTTCCGCGCAAGTTACACGAGTGCTGATAGGTGGGACACCCAGGAGAGCAGCGGTTTTGGAAGGGAGGGCTTCGTGGATCATCGGAAATTCGCTCGTGATGAGAAGTTCCGACCCTCCCTTTCTCAACCAATCCGCGTCACAAAAGGTGCACTCCGAACATGGAACCAACTCTAAGGTGTTATCCCAGGTTTGAATCGGCACTAGAAGACTTTCTCGAAGTCCTAGATCGAGTTGTTTTCCATCTCTAACCATCCACTGAAGAATCTCATGTGATAGCTTTCGATCATCTTCTACATCTTTTAGATATTCACTACTAGTGTCATGTTTGTCCTTTATCATTGTCAGAACATGCAACAAATCAGAATCTTGAAATGTTTCACGAACACCGCACTGCTGGAAAAAATGACTAAGGTGTTGAAAATCTTGCGGAACTGTATAAAGGTAAGGCCTGAGGTCGATTCTGCAGCAAGATTTGAGAGCTATCTTCGACGGTGATGAAAATCCATTCCCATGCCAAATCCATTCCGGAAAACTGTTATCCTGAGTTACGGCGTGGATAAAGCTGGTATTGGTGGATGCTTCTTTATAGATCTGCTTTACCATCGCTTGAAAATGATACAGAGCACTTCCATTTATGTCACTCCATAGAACGGAACAAGCAGAACGCAACTGGTTTAGAAGGTGGTGGACGGGTGGTGATTTGTTCCAACCAAAAACAGCCTCTAATGCTTTAGAACAAGGTTTGGAGACTAACGGCGCTGATGCCCCTACAAGGGTAGCTTGAGATTGGCTGAACGTTTCAGATGGTTTGTAGAAATGCTTTGTTCCTGAAAACCAAGGCATCGCACTTGGATAGGAAGAGGGACGACTCTGCATTCTTGGGACCCATCTCTCGTTCATCAGGGCTTGACCCAAGGACCTGTCAGGTGGGTTTTTGTCAAGGAACTCTAAGAGTGCTAAGGCTTTACGAAATCCCACATCACTGTGGACACTTTCTATTGTTTTAGCAACATGTAGAATATCCTCTTTAGTTGGAATACTCCTCATTCCAAGTTGCCGAAGGCGTAAAAGGATTTCTTCTTTCACAAAACCTCCATTTGGAAATTTGTCGTTTTCGTTCTCAAAAAGTTGTTCCAAAATGGATTGCTGTGGATCTAGAAGACAACAAGGAGTAACTAGGTTGTTGGTTCTGGTGATGACAAAGGGCAGTTTTTGAAGAGATACATGAAATGAGCTGTTTTCTCTGCAAAAAACGGAATACTGGCTAAGTACCCAGGTCATCAGCGTAGAGATCTGTTGGTGGCTATAGAAATTACTCTGTATACCACTAAAGACAATGTTCTTTAAGAATGTTGTTTTTGTCATCGGTGAGATTCCAAGTCTTTGAATTAAGGCATGGGAATCGTTATCTCTCAAGGCAATGACTGAGGACGCTCTTGGTATTGGCAAGCGTTGAGGAACTTCGAAGCCATATGGTGAAACCTCATGAACTTGAAATCCATTTCTGACAGCAATGAAGGCGTTTCCATCCGCGGCATCAAAAATGGGAAGGTGGCACAGGAGGTTTCTTTCATCATCATTGAAATACGCAGAGGAGAGGAAACTTCGTAACGCACGTTTTTCATCTGGTGAACAAAACGAAATTGTTGATGCGCATCTGCTTTGACCCAAGGTGCAAAAGATCTTTAGGACGCCATGGGGATCAGGTGTGGCAACGTATCTATGTAAAGAGTTGTGATAAATGTATGGTGGAAGATTTTCTAGAACAACGCAGCCAATTTTTCTAAGCAAAGACACAATCAGCGGAGGTAAAGAAATACTGTGGTGATGGTGTCTTCCAATAACCACGCTTAATGAACTCAGCTTCACTATGATTCGGTTGTCAGCACATGTATGCGGAATGAGCGGGAGGTTTTCGAGCAAGGAGAGATCAGTGGGGAACATTCTCTGAATCCAAATCCATACTGACTCCAACCAGTGCTCCGGTGGATGCCCGTTTTTTCCTGGATACCAAGGTACTGAATGATCTCCTCCAGACCACTCTGATGGAAGGCTTTCTCTCAGGACCCTGACAGCAATGGTTTGGTTTAACTTGACGAGTTGCACTGGTTGGATTGTGCAGGGACTACTAGCATCAAGGGCAATCTTCGACAAATATGTAACGGCTGGAGCTTGAACTTTGTCGTCGAGGAACTTATTATCCATGTTGTGGAAAATGGAACGGGGATTACTTGTTGACGAAACGTACACAGCAGCTGCTGGCTCTCTGTTGTATTGAAGTGAGCGGAAATCAACAAAACTTCCATCTGCGAGGGGCAAAAGAGGAACACCATGCATGTCGCTCAGGTTCTTGTCCTCTAGAGCAAATTCCAGAAGTGAAAGCTTCTTGTTCTTTGGTACATTGGTTATATTCCAAACTCCCTTGTTCTTCTTTTTCAGCAGATCTCTTAAGAATGCGGGGGTGATGCTCTTCGTAGGTACTGGCGTGTATTTATCAATGGCAATCATGACATGACTCGGGACGATTACCACAGCCTCATTTGCTTGCGTCAATGTTTCTAGAACTACGACTCTTGTTTCATCGGTAACATTCTTATATTGACTTTTTATTTTGTCCAGGTAGGCGTCACTTAGGTTTTTCCAGTGATCATGATTCGCAGGGGCCAAGAGGACGTTTTCTTTGAGTAAAATTGAGAACATGGGTTTCAGCATACACTGCCAATGATTCCCTACTTCCTGAATGTTTGGCCAGGACTTGTACACCAAATCTGCTCCATCTGAAGAATCATATGTTTCTCTAAGAAGGAGCAACATGTTGGCGTAGGCCTCACTAGCAACATGCTCCACCAGCAACACATTCCATTCTGCGGTTGGATCATCCTGACAGTCAGGGCCTGGCCATTTAAGACCACGTCGATTGTCTGTGAGGCCAAAGTAGCCATGCAGGTGAACTGGCAAACCAGTCTTGGAGTCAGCGTCTGGTGGAAGTGGTAAGAAGCAGAAGATTCTTCCAGTACTAGATGAGAGAGCTTGAAGTTTGGCTTTTACTGGTGTGGCACAACCCACCCAAGGCAGGAGACCCAACCCTGAGGACAATTGTTTGATTGTTAGATTTCGAGCATCAACTTGGTGGTACACAAGCCATCTATTTTCCACCGCTCTTTCTCCTTCAGTCACTTCAACGACATGCAAATCTAAAGAAAGATTTACGTTTTCAACTAACCCATTGCTCAGCCTTTTCAATTCACTCAAAAAATTTCTCTTCTTCTCTCTAACTTCTTGCCGACAGCTGTCACTCAATCGCACCGTAAAGACATGTTTTTGAAAGTCTCCCTCGTCAGTTTCAAACAAAGCAATTTCTTCAATGTTCTTCAGGAAGAGTAGGATGACAGGAGCTTCCTTTTTGAGGGCTTGAAATAATTTGTCAACTTTTTCCTTACTGTAAACCTTCTTGGATAAATCTGACGGTGCACTTCGTAGCGGAAAACGAAACAGAGTTCCATTGTAAAATTCAGTCGAAATATTGCAGTCCAAGACATTCTCGTACGGCTTGAACTGGTCTTCGTGGATTTCAAGGAGCGCTTTCTTAAGGGAATATTGCCGTCCCGTTTCCCCTCTACCAAAGTGTGTTTCGTGAGGGTCAAGAAATACAATAGAGTCCCCACTCACGATGCTGGGAAGATCTAATTAACATAATGTGAAGTTACCAATTAGTAAATATAACAATTAAGTGTAAAAACCCAGTCTGTTTCAACATGTGCATTTAAAGGATGCCATGCTTGTTACACCCTTCGGTGCAAAGTTGAACGCGTGATCTCAGAACATTACTCGCTATAGTTTTTGTCTTTTTTTCTCGTGACAGGGCATACTTCTCTCGGCAAGAATTTCCGTTTTTTCACTCTCCAGCCAATTTTTTTTGGCACTGCATTCCGAAAATTTCACTGATCGCTTACGATGACATATGGCGATGATTTTTTATAAACCTTAAAGAAACCTACCAGTTATATGATAAACGGAATTGAAGCCAATTCCAAATCGACCAACTTTCAAAGGGTCATCCTTCTTACTGCTATGCATCAGTCTCTGCAAGTTTTCCCAATCGCTTTCCTGGAACAGGGCATTGTTCTGAGCATATAAAGCAGGACCCTGGAACTGAGCTAGAGTGGGTTCGACGAGCGAGTTCTTTCCGTAAAAGCCTTGACGCGAATCAAGGAGAAAGGACACTTTTGTGGCGTCTGCGTCATCTGCATTCTGAATAATTTCCTGAAAGCGTCAATACCGTGACTCAGGAATAAAGAACGACAAGGTAGACAATGAGGAAATGAAGTTCATTTTCCTCGATCTTTATACTACTTTTCATTCATGTACCACAACTTCCCTACACGTTTTTCTTGATTGACCGCTTAATTTCCAAAGTCATAAAATTATCAGTAACGTATTAATGTCAAGTCAACAGTTTGGAGAGTATTTGTCATTTCACAAGAAAACAAGACAAAGGAAGACGAAATAACAACAATAAATAGCATTTAAAAGGGTCGCATGTACCTCCGCTTGAATAATTTTATAAATCATTTTATCCTCATGCAAAAGTTTAGGCGCTTGTAGACATATGACTGTTTGATTCTCCTCAGTCACAAGAAAATAAAGAACCCTCGGTCACGATGCTTGCTGCGGAAGACCATTCTTCATCCACACACTGTTCTCCGGCAAAAAAACAATTACTGCGTATGTTGTCCAATTCCAGGATTACCCTACATTCAATCATTTAGCCGTCAGAAACGAATTTTTCGTCTTACATATTGAAACTGGGTTAACTGTATAAGATCTGATGCAATGTTGAGACAAACGTCGTCAATCGTACCTTTAAGATTTGTCCTCCATCAGGGTATCTTTCCAATATACTTTTTAAAATGTGGGTCAGTGGAGGTCTCCTCAGGCCAAAGGAGCTCCCTGTTAACGCTGATAAACAAAACCGTTGCAAGGATTAGCAAAACCAAACTAATCAGCATTAGCGTAACTTTTTATGAACATAACATGACCTCTCGATCAAGGAAAATTTCAAACTTAATTCTTGAGTCATCTAGTGTTTTGACTTTCATGGCTTTTTTAAAATTCTTAACATGATGTTGCTCCAATGTCTATGTTTATTATCCAACTGTGCTTCGTAGAGTACGAATAACGCAAGAGACGAGTACAAATAACACACGATATTTGTACTTCAGAAATATCCGCGAAATTCGCCCGCATTGAAATAACAATTTGGCGTGTTGGATGATAAATCTTGTATTCGACGTTTTGTTGTGTAGTTTCGCTGAGTATTTTTACTCTTTGTTTGTATTTTGACTCGCTTTACTGGCTCGTCACAATACGGCACAACTTGTAAAGATACTCATTTATATGACAAAACAAAACGTCTAATAAGATACATATATTTTGAGGTTTAGGTAATAATATCAACATTATTAAGAGGTCAGATTCTAACCACATTCCGAACTTTGATGCCATGTCATTAAGTTTCCAAATCAATCATTAAGTTGCTTCAACGGCATTGGCGAAGGATCTTAACCTGCAAACACGAATTTGTTCAGACACTCTCTTCGGGGTCCAAACCTCAGGTCCTCTTGAGACTCAATATGTAAGTTAAGTCAAAAAAAAAAAAACCTTTAGCTTTGAATTGTTTGACACATTTCATGTGCATAGACTCCGATAACTAGGATTTTCCTTGATTTTCCTGAAAGAGTGTATTACATTAGATAAGGTTTTGGTTAAAGCTATCGCACCTTCAAGGCCCAATTGCCTCAGTTGGTAACAGCCGGTTGATTTAAGTACAATATGCTTCAAAGCTTACTCGGAAGTAGATAAATAGCAGACCATAATCGGCTCGTAAAAACATCATAGGTTATTTGTCTCTGTTTCCCTAAACATACCCTAGAATATTCTAACCTTTGATGTCCATAACTGTCGCATGATTAAGAATCTAGCTATTTGGTAAACCTTAAGGATTCAAGCCCTCGTGCATGTTGATAAATCAAGGGTGCTTTACATCGCTTACCTTCGACAGTTTGGCGAGGCTGCTTTGCCATTTTATCATTCGAACATCTTCGATGGCAGCCAAGACAACTTCATCGCTTTGTTTTTTTCGACTGTGAAAGAGACGGAAAAAATCCTTTCGCTACAGATGGGCACTTTTTAAACGTTGATAAACCTATCGACAACCTTAATGTTGAACAAAATGTTTGAACAGGATGTCGGTCAGACGACGGACTCCTGCATTATTTATAAAATTATTTGGCCAGCCACGACTTACCTGACATCTGCTTAAATTTAGGAGAAGCCTTTGTAGTTGAAACAACCGATTGCAGAACTAATATTGCATTTTCTGTAGATATATTTATTCACCAGAATGGTGGAACGTTTGGTCTCCCAATTGATATGATTATTTATCATATGCTCTACAAAATATCTCTCTTGATTGGACGGGTTGCATACGGGATATCCGTATTGCACTCTTAAGTATTTCGAAAAATATTTACGGCTTTGTTTGCCTGTCAATAACCAATATTCAAAAAAAACACATGTATTTTCCGGCAATGTACCCGCGGATGCAGCGGAAGAGTGAGTGAGCGATTTAAATTGGAATGAAGTAAATGAAAATTGCATACAATGATTATGTATTTCAGCTAAGTACGTAAGCTTTTAGCCTTTTGGTGATTTGCATAGGGAAAGAGAATGGTTTCAGTAAGTTATGTTACAGGTTCTTTACTGTTTGAAGTCTTTGAATGGGTATTTTCACACGAAATTCTCGGTCCTATCCGGCTCCGAATGCGTCGATCAGTGGGCCGCTTAAATGCATCACTTCGCTTACTTCGCTTCCTTTTCTTCCTTCGACGACATTAATATTCATTATGATGGTTGACATTTACCAAGGTTTCTGTAGACAGCTGAGGACGTTTGCGTATGACTTGCCAGAATCCGCGGGAGGAAGTGCAAACGTTTCCCGAAAGAGTCCCAAGGCTCAGCCGAGAAATTTGAAAAAGCGTATGATTGTTTACTTCATGGAAAATATTTTCTGCTATGGCTGGATTGTTTACCAGAAAACAAATTGTTATCAATTAGGTATTCACGAAGCTGGTGGCTTGTCTGCTCGATGATCGAGCTTGGACGAAGTCTAAAATTATTGAGACGCGCGGCAAATAAATTTGCCAATAAATTTGCCAATAAATTTGCCAATAAATTTGCCAATAAATTTCCCAATAACTCCAAAGAGTTAAAGTACAATTAAATAACACTTACCTTACTCTTCCTTTCCGTTTTAAACATTCATTCAAATCTATTCGCACTAAAACAGTTTTTAAAAGCCGAAAAATGAATCGATTTCCACAATTATGCCACTCGATATTCCCCGAAACTACTTGTGTAAATGCCGGCGAATTTCTCAGAAAATGACAGATCTCTGCCAATCATATGGCACAATACACCAATCGACATCACGACCGGAAGGCGAATGCGATTCTTGGAACCCAAAGATGGATTCTTGGAATTGGCTTAAACAAACAAAGAAAGCAATGTTCGTCAAGATTGGAAGATTATCATGCTAAAATGTCTGCTTAATCGTATTTAGGTCCGTATTAGGTTGCCGATAAAATCAACACTTCCTAAACGAAACTGCCAATACTACACATACATTACTTTCAAGCTTGTTTGGAATTTCTTATTCCGTGGAAAAAACAGAACACGTCAGGCTTTTGATAACTGCAATACTTTGATATTTACTCTGCTTTAATTCAATAAATAAACTACTAATAATAACTTTATTGCGTTACGTCACACAAACTGTAGTCATATCTGCCTTCTTCGTTACACGCGTGAATTGGAATATTTTTGATAAACTCATTTTCCGTTTACTTTTGTTAACGAGGGTTTGTGACGTATTAGAAGTAAGTTGCATTTTTGTCTATGGCAGAAAACGGAGTATAAATCTCAAGCTCTTTATAGCCAGATCCTTTTGTTCCGTTTCAATACATTGTCACCCTCCATTTCACTTCCTCATGTCACACTATCTTACTGTCATACTGTCACAATCCATTTGTCTTCCTCATGTCACACTATCTTACTGTCATACTGTCACAATCCATTTGGCTTCCTCATGTCACACTATCTTACTGTCATACTGTCACAATCCATTTGGCTTCCTCATGTCACACTGTCTTACTGTCATACTGTCACAATCCATTTGTCTTCCTCATGTCACACTATCTTACTGTCATACTGTCACAATCCATTTGGCTTCCTCATGTCACACTGTCTTACTGTCATACTGTCACAATCCATTTGTCTTCCTCATGTCACACTATCTTACTGTCATACTGTCACAATCCATTTGTCTTCCTCATGTCACATTATCTTACTGTCATACTGTCACAATCCATTTGGCTTCCTCAAGTTACACTATCTTACTGTCCTATTTTTCTCATTTGAGTTAGTCATTAGTAAAAGGCGTACATGGGATTGAAAAGAAAGAAATGAATTAAAATTTTCTTTCTTGTGTTTCTGGAATCAGCCCTCTGTGGTACTAATGCCTAGAGCGAGTAGCACCCTTTGTTCGGTATTAAAAGTTGTTTGCAATCTTAACGGACATTCTCTTCCTAATCTACCAAATTAATGTGTGGACGGCTCATTCCAGACTAGCGTCACAAGAATTTGGCAAATTAACGCAAGTATTTAGAAAAAATGGCAGTGAGTGTAGCGAAATTGTGGAAATGAATGATGAACAACAGGCAAGAGAGCTTCTGCGATGCGAAACATGTTCGAAGACCAGGATCAACAGAATGCACTGCAAACTAAATAGCTTTTTTTCAAAGGTTTCGTTTTGAAGATCTTCTATTCTCAAACGGCAATGATATATTTCTTTACTTCATTATGAACCTATAGATAAAACTTGTCTCACTAAATATTTCATTTTAGGACTGAACACATCAGAGTGAGATCATGATTAAGACCATAATCAAAACTGATTATAAAGGAATTCTAGAACGTGATTGGTTATCACCATCCCGACTTGAGCACTAACAGAAATGTGTACATGTGACGCTTGTACTTGGACTATGTACGTGTCATGCCTATGTACGCTTCATGTGCGCGCGCTGCTACCGCAGATCTCGCCTACTTCCCTGTAGTTTTTATTATGGAAACGTATAACCGATGGGTATTCATTTCTCAAATTTATTCGCAGTTTTGATTTTTTGGTGACAGGACCTCGTGTTGTCCAACTGTCTGTAATTGTACTCGTGATTCACAAACGGACTCTCGCTTTGCGGTCGTCTGATTTTGTTCCTTGTTGTTTGCCCTTTGTTGGATCACAGCTCACTTGGCTGGTAGGCCCATAACAACCGTGGTATCACAATTATTGGTGCAGTGGGATGAATGGCCTCTAAGTCGATAGCTGTCATTAAACACTCGCTCGCTACTTCCTGCTCGTCTTGGGCTTCCAAAACCACGCCCAAAAGATGCCTGAAATGAAATCCGGCACACAGCAAGCAGACAAACACATCGTTGGTATCAATACGATTAACCCGAGTGACCAAGACAGAATTTCTCCTCATTAACAGATGCAAAGCCATATTCTCCAAACGTACATCATGAGAATTGCATGGCAGATAGTGAGGAGATATAGTAATGCGATCTTGGGAGTGAAAGAGTTTGTTCTTCTCGAAGGCTTCGTTGACAAGATAACGGAAAGGTTCTACTTTCTTCAGAGTTTGTCCATAGAAATAAACCCAACAAAACGTTTAGTAACATTGCGAGATCTTTGTACATTATAATAATGACACGATGCGACTCGGGGCACGAAATAAAATAACAATATCACGAAAACGTTTCATAACGTAACGCAACGTTTCGTTGGTAGAGGGGATCTAGCCACAAGATTATACATTCATGTGAGCAACAGAGGGGGAGCGAGAGAGAGAGAGGGAGAGAGAGAGATATGAAGGCAAGGTCACATGACCTGTACATTATTCAGTCATATTAGAATGAATGGTACCCTCTCGCTTAATGATTCACACTCTCACCCAAACGAAGAACCTGAATGAAACTGATAACTCATCAAGCTTCAAATGCTGTTGGATCGATATTGATGGCTTCGCGGAGGACTTTCTCAGCCATGACGAGGTTACTAAGTTTGCGATACACTACACCCCAAAGAGAATAGATGAATTAAACAGTTTTACATGTAACCGTATAAAGTCTATAAACGTAGCCGCTATCTCTCCTGACGTTATTGTTCACATGTTGCAATCTTAAGGAGGAGAAACAATCGAAAATAAAAAAAATTCAAATTAAGCTGAATTTCATCAATTACTTTTGGTACTTTGTAGACTATTTAGCAACTGACATTGTCAATCAATCAATCAATCAATCAAAGTTTATTGTCTAACGTGAGGCATGGTTGCCCAATTGCCCGAGCCAGAGGCTCATGTATAAAACGGTAGACTATAAATTAACTATAATTAAAGGTATATTATTAGAAGTACTTAAAACTTTATAGGTAAAAATATATAAGTTTAGAGTACGAGTGATAATTGTAAAATTGTAGGTGATTAATATTGATAGTTAAAAGAGTCTAAACATTATGTTCGGTGAAAGATATTGCAGTAGATGAATATGAATAAGAATGACAATGTATGTGTACGTACAATAAAAGTCAACTACATGTATTACATTTACAGATTGGTCCTAGAGTGCTAAAATCGAAATTCTTAAGTTTACTACAAAAATCGCTAAGCGTAGATGCTGTTTTAATTTCTCTAGGTAAACTGTTCCAAAGGTGACTAGCTTTATATGTAAAGGAATTATGATACGATCTATTATTATACCCTGGTTGCACTAGATTTACACCTTTATTCCTTAAACTATATCTAGATTCCCGCAATTTAAAAAAGTTTTTAATATATTCCGGACCGTTCCATTTCATACATTTAAAAAGTAAAACCAAGGAAATATAAAATCGCCTATGTTCTAGAGTTTTCATGTTGCTTTTAGCTAAGATTGTATTGTAATCAACATTATTGCCGAGATTAAGCAAAGTTTTGAGTGCGTACTTATTGACTGACTCAAGTTTAGAGCTCAGTGTTTTATTTATTCCAAGCAATAGCGGACTACAGTACTCCAGGTGAGGAAGTATGTA